CAGGGTCTCTTGTCTGTCCAGTGTCCCCAGCCTAGGAGATGGTATCAGGTGACCTGTGCTCCCTGTGCCAAGAGTTCTCCTTACCCTCCTGCGGCCCTGCCAGCCGGAGCCCCTCTCTTCCCCTCCCCTCCACAGCTCCCCATCACCACGCCCTGCCTGAGCGGGGGCTGTTCAGCTTTGTTTGATTTCCTCACCTCCGTGAGGGGAGAGCTGGGACCTCCTTCCTAAACCTCACCCACAGGCCTTCCCCACCTGGCCAAGCTGCCTATAAGCTTCAGCCTAGGGCCAAACATCTGCCAGCTGCTCCCCACTGCCCCCCCCCCCCGCCAGGGAGGGGGAGGGAGACGGAAGCCCAAGGCTCGAGCAGGAGGGGGCTGTCCAGGGTCAGCCTCTCCAGGTGACTTCATTGTCTTTGAAGCAACTTCCCAGAACTCTGGCACACCCATTTTTTAAACTATAAATAAAAAATGCATTCCAGTGGCAAACAGCCAGACCCCAGGGCTGGGAGCCGAGAGGTAGGGCTGAACTCCCCTCCAAAGCAGCACCGGGCCAAGGTGCAGCCTGAGTGACAGGGGCCTGGCCCCACGTCCTCCTCCTCGCCCTGGTGTGGGGAGACCAGGAAATAACCCACTCTGCAGCGAGCTCAAGGGGGCCCCCAAGTCCTGGGGCCCAGAGATCACCTTGCGTGGCAATGGAGATCCAACACGATCTTGAGACGAAGGAATTCTGTGCAGGTCTCCATTCACAGACACGTAAACTGTGCTTTTACAGAGACAGAAGAAGAGGAAATGAGGGAGAGAGAGAAGAGGGAGGGAAAGGGGGGAAGGAGGGAGGGAGGGAGGGCCAGAGGAGGTGTGGTGAGAAGATTTGAAAAGTTGCTTTTCCTACCAAAGGCTTTGGTTGGCAAGATTTCACTTATAGGCTGAGCAATGACCTCCACTTGAGTGGCCATCAACTCTTGGGTTTAATGACTAAATCCAGCCCTGCGCTGACCCCTCCCTTAGGGCGAAGCTGGACCCCTGCTGGGTGTCTGGTGGGTGCAGGGCTCAGTGCCCCGGAGCGGCCCAGCTCCAAGGGAGGAAGGCCTCTCCCCCGGATGTGAAGGGGTCACTTGGGGCATTCGTGTGGCCCCCTGGGGACACGGACATCTCGAGTGGGAGGGCTGTCTGCATTTGCACTGCCACCAGAATGTAGTCCAACCCTTTTCCCGTGAGCAGACAGGCGGTTAGAGTGTTACACTACTTCCCTGGCTTGAGCCTATAAAATGTCCTCAGTCCCAGGAGGCCCTCAGGGCAAGCAGGGCGCCATGGCCTGGTGGGGGAGTCTGGAGGGGAGCAGGCGGCCCCACCCCGGGGAGACAGTACACAAGGCAAGGCCGGCCAGGATGGGCCCCCGGCACCGATGCCAGTGGGCAGCACCAGCACCGCTCTGAGGCCCGCCAGGTGGGAGCCGAAGCCCGGTCTGCTCAGAGAAGGCAGCCCTGGGGTCTTCACGCAGGGCTCACAAGTAAACGGAGCGCACTGAGCACAAGGACAGTGGCTGCTCCTCCCCGCCCTGATCCAGGTCCCACGGCCGCCGAGCCCTGGCAGGCTGGCGGGGAGGGGGGGTCCCACACCCCGTGATATCAAAGCTATAGCTCAGGAATGTACCCCAGGGGAGACGCTAGTCTACGATGATAAATCACCTGCTCCCAAAGGTGCGGGGGGGGGCGGGGAAGTGGGGGGAGAAAGCCTCCCAGGAATGCCAAAGATCCTGGGGCACCGTATTCCAGCTCCCACCCACCCCAGCTGGCCAGCCACGAGAGGGCAGCTTGTGGTCGGAGGGGCCTCGGTGCCCAGGAAGGGACCAAAGGCAGCCAAGGGTCTCTGTGTTCACAATACAAGTCCTGGCGACCCAATGACCCGTCTGTGAGTGGCTGTGTGGGGACCAACCTGGTCCCTCAGCCTCAGTGACTGTCCCCGTGCCGGGAGACACGGGCAGCATCGGCCCTCACCGGGTGTCCAGTACCAGGGGCACCGGGGCCCACGGGGAAGGATGGGGACAGGAGGGGACATTCAGGCCAGGCCCGTGGGAGCGTACACTGGGGTGCCAAGGCCTGTGTGAGAGAAGGCGGCGTGAGCTGGGCGTGGAGGGCGCAGGGCAGCGGGGCCTCCGGGCTGGTCTCAGGAGCGGGCGCCTGGACTAACTGCCAGAGCTCTGGGCACCCTGGGAAAGGGGCTCCACACACCATTTAAGGGACACACTGGGCACTCTGAGGGGTGAGGAGGTCAAGGACAGGCTTCGGCCTTCTAGAACCTTCCCAGAGCAGGTGCAGTGGATGGGGGGTGGGGCAGGGCATGGCAGGGCTGCACTTCAGACAGAGGGAGGCAGAGGAAGCGGGGAGACAAGGGTTCTGGTGGCAGCCCAAGGTCGTGTCCTTCAGGAATTTAACCACCTCGGGACAGAAGGCCAAGCGGCTGAACGCAGAGAGAACAAACTTGGGGTGTGGCTCTGTTGTTTGGGGGGCATTTGGGGTTTTGAGAAATTGGGGGCGCGTGCAGTGTACCCCCACATCTCAGTCTCTGTGCTTTTCCGAGCGAGAAAGTCCCAGCGCAGAGCTGCCCTGGCGGGGGCAGGATGGAGCGGGCCGAGCCCGCAGCGAAGACCCCAGGGCCCTGAGGCCCGAGAGGCAGAACGCAGCGGAGCCATGGGGAGGCTTTTCTCCAGCATCAAATTGGGTGAGCTTTTGCTGACAGTAATTGATGCCTTCCTTCTGCCGGCTCCTGCGGGGCCCCAGCACCCCCACCCCCAGCCCCAGGAAACCTAGGGCTTCCAGAGGGACTTGAGCCAATTCCAGCCCCACAGCCTGGCGAGTCCAGGGCAAGGCCCGAGGCCCCGCTTCCGGTGAGTGGTTACCAAAGCCTGGTGAGGACAGCGCGGCTTTCACCAGGAATAAAAGCACAATGACCTCCAGGAAAAAAACCAACCAAAACCCCAATGCCTCAAAGGGAGAGGAGGGAAACGGGAGGAAGAGGACTGGGGAGAAATAATCACTCTTAATGAGCCTTATCTCAAGGGAAACGTACACGATGCTTTCAGGACCCAAAGAGATTCAAATTAGCTTCCTGCCAATCACTCAGCCCCAGACTCTCATTGGTGATGACAGACGGGGCCAGGCCCCTGCTCATTAGCTTTCTAGCAACGATTCTCCTGTTGAAAAGAAAATCGGGGAGCTTCCAAAGTCAGGTGACTCAGTGCAACGGGCTGACCCACCTCTGAGGGTCTCTGGATCCTGGAGGCCTCAGGTTACCCTACCTGGCAGGGTGCGTGTACATTCCAACCTACACTATTCCTATGGAGGCTGGGGAGGCTCCCTGGGCTCCGCGGTCTCAAGGCCATGGGACATTGTGACATGCCGCCCTTCTCTCTCCCAGGGCTCACTTTTCCTCAGCAGCGGAAGGGCAGAATGCACAGGTTAACCAGGGTCCCCCTTGAAGGGGCAGGTGGTGACTGCGTGCACCACCAGGTATACAGCAGGCACTCAGCAAGTGTTCGTGACAAGATGGCGGACTCCCTGGAAGGCACTGCCCCTGTCCCAGGACGGCAGCAGGAGAGCCTGTGGAGGACTCCCCCGTGGGGCACCACGGCTTGCTGGGGTGCTTCTCTGTCAGGTGGGGTCCACCCAGCGGCTGGCTGGTACGCCCTTTTGGGTGCCAGGACAAGACAGGAAGGGATACTGTGACCCACGCCCAAGAGGTGGCAAGAACCCATGAACCAAAAGCTCAGGGTGGTAGCGGGCAGCACTGAAGAGCTTCTGCTGCCTTCCTTCCTGCTCACTGGCAGGAGCAACACTGGGGAGACAGCGGGAAGAGCTGTCTGGGTGCTGCTGGCAGTCAGCCATAGCAGGCAGAGTGTAAAGCACCCAGACTACCCCTCTCTCTCCCCCACAGATTACAACCATTTGGGGGGCAGACAGCTCCATCTCACAGGCTGCCCAAGCCTCTCGCTCTCTTTGTGCTCCTTGCTTGCTCTCTTCCTGCTAATAAATACCTGCTAATACCTCCAGCCTTTGTGGAGAGCTCAATAAACTTCCTCTCTGGGTTGCATGAGAGGCCCATCCAAGCGGGGAGCCGTTGCTCGGGCTTTAGGCTGAACTCCTTAATCACCACACAGCTGGGGAAAGGAAGGACCACAAAGTCATCTCCGGAATAGATCACGCCCCGCCTGAGCCATGGAGTGTTCCAGAAGACATTACGCAAGCTCACTGCACCTAACAGGCCATCAAAGGTCAGACCGAGATCTGGGGCCAAGGAACAGAGTGCATTTCTGTGCTGCTCTTGGGCTGGCTTTTTACCTTATATTCATTGTAGCTGGGCGTGGTGGCTCAGGCCTGTAATCCTAGCTTCTCGGGAGGCTGAGATCTGAGATTCGTCAGCCTAGGCAGACAAATCTGAGAGACTCTTATTTCTAATTAGCCAGCAAAATGCTGGAAGTGGAGGTGTGGCTCAAGTGGTATAGCAAAAAAGCCAAGCAAGAATGCAAGTCCCTGAGTTCAAGCCCCAGTACAGGTGCAAAAAGTTATTTAAAAAAGAAAAGAAGAAAAGGAATTCATGGGCTGTGCTTGCCACGCTGACGTTTGTGATCATGTGATCAGCAGGCCGAGGGGAGGGGCGCTTTCCGCAGTGACAGCCAATGAGGTGAGACAGTCACGGGCTGCATCTTTGGAACCCAAGCCACTGACAGCTCGGGCTCTCCGCCCTGCTTCCCACGCTCTGCACAAACCAATAAAGTACTCCAACTTCATAACCACTTAGAAGCGGCCACCCATGTCTCCAGCGGCTCGCGGACGGCACCCCACAGTCCTCATCACCAGCGCCACCCGAGGGTCGGGGGAAGGTGAACGGCACGCGGGGACACACCTCTCAGGGGAGCCGGAAACGTCCGCACAGGGCCCGCCGCCGACCTCGCACCTGCCCTCTCGCCACGTCTCCCGGAGGGAGGTGAGCGCGGGGAGCCCTCACCTGTGAAGTCCTGGAAGCACTCGCAGGAGTAGCCGCCCTCGCGGCTGAGGCAGCGGCCGTGGTCCCCACACGGGCTGGAGTAGCACAGGTCGATCTCGGTCTCGCAGTAGTCGCCGGTGAAGCCGGGCGGGCAGCGGCAGCGCAGGCCGGTGATGGGGTGGATGGGGCGGAAGAGCACCGTGGCGGAGCTGACGAAGGGCGCGGAGCTGTCGAAGCGCAGCACCGACACGCACTTCATGTAGTTCTCGCAGGGCTCCCGCAGGCAGATGTTGTCGTCGAAGGGCAGCACGCGCTGCGCCGCGATGGCGGCCAGCAGCGTGCGGTTCAGGTAGATGTGCTCCTGCAGCTCCTCCGACGGGAAGAAGCGGCCGCCCGGCAGCAGCGCCGAGAACGTCACGTTCAGGATGTTGGAGCTCACGTCCGTGTCGTTCTGGATGTTGAAGACGAAGACGTCGTCCTTGCTGGTGGCCAGCACCGTGGCCACGCCCTCCACGAAGAGGGACAGCAGCGGGGACAGGAACTTCTCCTGGGACATGTTCTCCAGGCGGACGGTGATGCTGTTGGTGAGCATGTCGTCCGTGATGATGATGACGCGCAGCGTGCACAGGGCCGAGACGCTGTGGAGGCCGTCTGCGGGGAGCAAGGACAGCTGGGGTCACCCGGTGCCCTCGGGGTCACGGCCAGGGGCACGCCTGGCACCCTGCTCCCCCCGCCCCCCCATCCCCAGCCCCCCGCCCGTGACACCCACGCCCGGCCCCTCGTGCCTTCTTTTGTGATTCCCACGGGTTTCCAACCACGGAGAGGACGAGCACCCGGCACGCAGTGACCAAGTCCACGTGATGGCGGTTCTGGGCCACGTCGGGGTGGGCGGACGGGTGAGGCCTCGGGTCACCCATCCCAACAGGCAGCCCCAGGCACGGGACGGCAGTGGAGGCCCCCGCCCGGCGGCCTTCACCGGCTCCCGGAGCCCACCTCAGACCTGAGGTGCGGGTGTGCTTCTGGGCACAGCCCAGGATGCCCACAGCGCCCACACCCTACCAGCCTCCCAAAGGCACCCAAAGGCACCCACCAACCTCAGTTCCCAAGGACAGAAGCCAGGCAGGTGCAGGCGCTCCCGAACCTTTCCCCACGGGTGTGCGGGACGTGCCCACCCAGTCTGAGCGGAGAGGACACTGCAGGGGGGGGGGGAGGGGAGGGCGGGGTGGAGCCGTCCGGGCCCCACAGCACAAGGGAGCCTTTGGAGCAGCGGGGGCAGAGGCGCAGACCACCCCCAGGCCGGGTCTGGGGAGGACTGCGAGTCACGTGACCTGCCCATCACTGAGGGATGTCGGCCATTTCACAGCCCCGGGCCCTGCCGGTGCTCAGATCACTACAGCAGGCCCAGAGCCCCGCAGAGCCCACACCACTCCACCGTGCAGCTGGGGAAAACCGTCAGGGCTGGAGGGGAGCGGCTCACCCAGGGACGGACGGCCTTCCCCATCCCAGCCAGTGAAGAAGGCTTCCCATCCTTCTCCATCCAGCCCAGGAAGCCTGGTGGGGTGGGATTTTAGAAAGGAGGGGAGGAAGGCAGACTCCACTTCAGTGTGGGGAGCTGCTCCCCATCCAGCCTGGACCAAGCACTCCTTCACGTCCCCACCCCCCGGCCAGCAGCCCAGAGACCCCGGCAGCCGGGAACCAGGGCTAGACAATGATCAACAATGGGAAGACACAACTGGCGCCGGTGGCTCACGCCTGTCATCCCAGCTACTCAGGAGGCTGAGATCTGAGGATCGCGGTTCAAAGACAGCCCAGGCAGGAAAGACTGTGAGACTCCTATCTCCAATAAACCACCAGAAAACCGGAAGTGGCGCTGTGGCTCAAGTGGTAGCTGCTCACCTTGAGCTGAAGAGCGCAGGGACAGCGCCCAGGCCGAGTTCAAGCCCCATGACTGACAAAAAAAAGTGAGAAGACACAAACATGGGGGAAAAACACAGATGGCAAAGCACAGGTGCACAGACCTTGAGCACAGGCGTCCGCGCCCTCCCTCCCTGGCCCACCGCCACCCTGGCCCGAGTAGCACTACCCCCCTCTCCTGGCTCAGGGGACCAAAATGCTGCGTCACACAGAGGTGGCAGAAGCAGCGTCTCGACACCCAGTCTGTGCACCAAGAGGAAAGCAGGGCCTCTCCTTCCCGAGGCGCTGGTATAGAGAGGCCATGTGGGGAGGCCCTGCGGGCACACCAAGGCACCGTGGTCACCAAGGCCCGACATCACACAGCAGGCTCGAGCCACACACACGAGCAAAGAACACAGAGTTGGCGGCCACTATAGTCCTGGCCTGCCTCAGTTTCCCTCCAAATTCATCCTCACAGCGTGGTCGTGGTTGTTTTAGTGTGGATCCCATCACCACAGTTTCCTGTGGTTCCTAAGGAGACGGGGGATCAGATCCACACTCCTGACCCTTCCAGTGGCCTGACAGGATCTCTCCCCTACCTCCCGCCATCATAGCACACCTCCCTGGCATCCCTCTTCCGTTCCCAGGGCCTTTGCACATCTTGTCTTTGACTTAAGTGCTGCCCTTGTCACCCAGAGGCTGCTCCCTTGGCCCCCACTTCCCGGGTTTCAGCTACTGGTCCCTCACCAGGGGCTCCTGTGCTGAGTACCCCTCCCCCCACCCCGGCTTGACTTCATGGTTTACGTCTGTTCTGCAGGAGTGCTTGATGCTGTCCTAAAGTCACAGCTAGAGGAGTCCCCGGCACTCGGAGGCCAGACCAATGGATAACCCGTGGGGAGGGGCGGCGGGGCGAGGGGGGATTTCCTGGTCGCAGCCAGAGGCTCTGTTCTAAGCTGTGTGTGTGTGGCTGTTGACTGTTTTTTTGTGAGGGTCCTGGGGGGCACCGGCTGGACAGCTGGCTTCCTGAGGGGCTGCCTGGCTGCTCTGCCCGAGACACACAGGCCATACTGGTTTTCAGCCAGAAGCCTGGGCCTTCACAGGTGTGCAGGTCCATCCAGCCCCCGAAGTCACAGCCCCAAAGAACACCCCCGAACAAGAACGCTCCAGAACACTCCAGAACGAGGAGCCGCAGGCTGCGGACACGGGTCCTCACCTGGGGACAGTGACCACTCAAAGTAGCACTGGAGAGTAAGCACTGTTGCTGAGCTAGCACACACAATGCACTGACTACCGAGCCCAGCGCCGGGGCAGACCAGGCCCAGGAGTCAATGAGTTTGGTTCTGGCCCGGCTGGGCTGGGTCCGAGTCCGCCTGCACAGCGTCAGCAGAGGCAGGCTGCACTGGCGCCCAGCCGAGCAGTGCCCCAACAAACATGGCTGGACACCGCCCACTGGCCCACACGTCCACAGGGTCTCAGATATCCTTCCTGGGCTGACCTGGAGCCATGACCCTCAGATTTCAGCCTCCTTAGGAGCTGTGATCACAGATGTGAGCCACGGGCACCCGGCCCCTGAAAAGCCACTTTACCTTGGCCCCAAACCTGGGACAAGTGGTCAGCTCCACAGCCACACGCCCGTTCCACCAAGGACACCACTGCCTTGTGGGCTGTGTGTGCTGCCTTCCCTGAGCGACTGACGCCACAAGCTGTCCTGTGTCCTCCACCCCACGGCCCAGTGTGTGTCCTTGGTGCCTCTGGAGTGCTCCACGTGGAGGACCTGGCAGTTTGGAGGACAAGCTTTGGGCCTTGGGCCATGGCAGGTGGAAGTATACAGATCTCTTCCTCCTCCTCTTCCTCCCCCGTGCCTTCCCCCAGGGCTTCTGCATCATCATCCATCAGTGTCACAGTGAAAAGCTGGGCCCTCAAGCCTGAGGTCCAGGTGCACGTCCACAGCTGTGAGAACAGTGCTGATACCACAGCCCCTCTCCTCACCCCGGCCCTGCACCCACAAGCAGCCCTGCCCGGCTTCCGTGGCCTCCCAGGGAGCCACGTCACTGAGGTCTAGACAGTGGGAGACGGAACAGTTCTTCACCGAGGGACACCCGCAGAAAGCCGTGTCAACTGCGAGAACTCTCCAGGTCTCCACGTGGGATGCGACCTATCACCTGACCTCGTGTGGGCCAAGCTGGTGGCAGGAGGGTGCTGGTGCTCCCACAGCAGGCCCTTCCCTCAGAACATGGAGAGGAAAGGTCACACCACACCCCGCAAGGGGCAGGTGGGGGAGCGTAGCAGGATGGGCGGGGCTGTGCTCTGAGATGGGTGGCGGTGCCGTACCATGGGAGAAGGACAAGGCAGCCATCACAGAAAGACCCCAGGAGGTAACAGGGAGGCGTCTCCTAAAGATTTAGAATGGAGTTGACCTTACTGTGGACAGGAACAGCCTTCTGGGCACAAGACCCAGCAAAAGCACAAGTGTCACAGTCAGGGGAAGGAGCACCAAGGTCCTGTGGTTGCCAGGTCAAAGCCATGGCCGAGCGGCCCATGACAGCACACAGTCTCCCACCTGATTTTGAGGCCACAAGTCCCGGGATCTATATTCCCAGCAAGACCCCTGGAGAAGCTGCCAGGCTGCTGTCCAGCACCGGGTCACCACACGCTCCATGTCACTGGCTTGTGGGCACACCACACCACTCCTTGTTCTGCCTTTCCTGGCCTGTCTGCTTTCTCTCTCTCTCTCTTTTTTTTTTTTGGTTGTTGTTGCTAGTCCTGGAGCTTGAACTCCAGGCCTGGGCACTGTCCCTGAGCTTCATTTGCTTAAGGCTGGCACACTACCATGTGAGCCACAGCGCCACTTGTGGCTTTTTCTGATTATGTATGGTACTGAGGAATCAAACCCAGGGCTTCATGCATGCTAGGCAAGCACTCTACCACCACGCCTCCTTCCCAGCTCTGCTTTCTCTTCTTCAAAGGGACACCAGCATGTGCCATGGTGAAACCCCGATGACCTCAGCAAAGCCCCATTTCTTTTTTTTTTTTTAATTTTTTATTGTAAAGATACTATACAGAGGGTTACAGTTACATGAGCAAGGTAATGAATATACTTCCTATTGAGCATTGTTACCCCCTCCATTGTTTTCCCCCTACCATCCCTTCCCTCCCTACCTTCCCTGAGGTTCTTTTTTTTTTAATTGTGATTAAGTGATTATATAATTTCCCAAATTTCACAGTATTGTGGAATAATGATGCTCATTTAAAGTCACAAGTTCACTCTAACTTTCCTGGAGCAAATTGTCTATCACAGTCTATAACATATAACGGTGTACACATATACACCATACATGTGATCAGCAGCATGAGGATATTTAGTAGTGGTTCATCCAGATGAGTGGGAATTCTTTGTTTATTATGTCCTGTTAATTTTGTCGTATCACCTAACATTTTGGATTTAGCATCCACTTATCAGGGAGACCATGTACCATTTGTCTCTTTGCTCTTGGCTTACCTCACTCGACATGATTCCTTCTAGCTCCATCCATTTCCCTGCAAATGCCATTATTTTGTCATTTCTAATGGCTGCATAATATTCCATTGTGTATAGATACCACAATTTTTGGATCCATTCATCTGTGGTGGGGCATCTGGGTTGTTTCCATATCCTAGCTATTGTGAACAGTGCTGCAATAAACATGGAGGTACACGTGTCCTTGTGTATTGTCCTTGTATCTACCCTGTTGTTCAGGGTAGATGCCTGAAGTGGTATGACTGTGTCATAAGGGAGGTCAATCTTTAGCTTTCTAAGGACCCTCCAGACTGCTTTCCAAAGTGGTTGTATAAGTGTACATTCCCACCAGCAGTGTAATAGGGTTCCTCTTTCTCCACATCCCCTCCAGCATTTGTTGGCTGATTTGTGGATGTGGGACATTCTGACTGGGGTAAGGTGGTATCTCAGGGTTGTCTTTATTTGCATTTCCTTCACCACCACGGATGATGAACATTTCCTCATGTGTTTCATTGCCATTTTTATTTC